TCCATTTGGAGCTCTTTCTGTGCTCTTGACAATAAAATGTGAATAACTAAATTGTTACATGTAATATCATTCGGCTTGATGAAGCAAATTTCTTATTGCCACTATCAGGTTTGTAACTTGCTGTATTTAGTTTCCCTTCTTTTACCTCACTGTTTTAAAGACTTATTTCCACGAAAGCCCTTCTAGGGACGGGTGTTGCAAATGAGCATCTGCTATAAACACTGTGATAATTGCATCGAATAGCTGTTCTCAGTTTGCCTATGTACATTGTATCTGTCCCTATCAAATACACCATAAATAAAATAAATACATCTTTTTGTAAATGAAGTCAGTGGTCAGAGGAGGCTTTATTTTTTAGCCTTTGACACACCAGTGTTCAGTAATTCAGGCTCCTCTGGTCTGATGCGGCTTGTCTTGTGGGCATTTGGTCTGTGACTGTCCCCTTGACCAGCCTGCCGGATTTATAAAATGGTTTCAGGCTCTAAAAGTGTCCAATAAATCACTTTTACTATTCATGTAGGACCCTGCTAGCATACAGCTGGTGACTGCTACCACCATAAACACACTCACAATACACACAGACACACAGGCTGACACAAATGCACAAACACACAGACAAGCGGGGACAGTCACATACTTCCTGGTCAGACACATTTTGAGGGTTGCTGGAGTCAGGACCTCTGCCAAACTCTAACCCCATGTCACCCCACCCTACCGCCCTGATGACATCACTGCATAGCCTTGAACCACCGGCCCAGAGAGGCCTTAAACATGCACGCACACACACACACACAGGCGTTGAGAATGCAGAATGCACAGACACTGTAACGATCACCACAGGGTCACATTTTTAGCACACACATACACGCAGAAATGTGTGCACCAACAGCACTTGACCATAATGACTACTGCATGGCCGCACTGCATTGTCAACACACACACACGCACAAATGGAGCAGCTTAAGTGCAGGCTGCTGCCTCTGAGTGAAGTGGTAAACTTGTATATTTTCAAGTGGCTGAAATTATTTTGAATATGAAGAAGGACTATCAAGAAAGTGTTTATCCATCTATTTTTGTTAAAAATATCTTTAGCATCAGCAAGTTGTCTCCACTATACTATTATAATAATAACAACACTTTAACATTTTGGGCTATGTTTTAATGTTGATGGACTTTTATTATATTGGTACCCACGCTGGTCTGCACAGAACTAGCACTTCATGGACAACATCATGTACAGTCCCAGTGTAATGTGTAAGGCTGCAAATGAAGGAAATTGTCATTATTTAATAAACTATATTCTTTTTTCATTGATTAATTGTCCATAAAATGTCGATAAATAATACAAATACCGATCAAAAAGTTCCCAAAGCTGAGGATGGTGTTTTCACATGGTCCAAAACCCAAAGAGATTTAAATAAAGATGATATGAAGAGAAAAGCAGCAAATCTTCACATTGGACAGAATGGAAACAGTGAATGTCTGGAGTCACTGCTTAAAAATTTACTATAAATTTATGATCAAAATAGTTGCAGATTAATGTTCTGCCCATAGATTAATTGTTTCAGCTCCATGTACAACATAAACCTTTGTTAAATCTAAAAAGTAAAATCAGATCATCAGAAAAATACCGGAGCTGTTCAATCAAACCTGCAGCTACACCTTAAATTAAAAAATATCCGCGGTTCTTTCTCCACCAAGTCAGCGCCATCCTGCAGACAAAACAGATGCAAACAAAGGCGCGCGCGCACACACACACACACACAAAAATACCAGGATTGGAGAGGTTAAGTCGACCACTGTCAGACGCTGTCCTGGGAGGAATTCCCAGGACACAAGTTAACCAATCACACACCAGCATTTAAAATAATCTTCAACTGGAAAACTGGAGAGGCCATCCTATTCACATGGAGTGTGTGTGTGTGTGTGTGTGTGTGTGTGTGTGTGTGTGTGTGTGTGTGTGTGTGTGTGTGTGTGTGTGTGTGTGTGTGTGTATGTGTGTAACACATGCGGCGTTAAGACACCCCCCACACCCCCCTTGCTCGGACACTTGAAAAGCACAAATATACATTTACAAACAGGGACACACATTCAGAGGGATGTCTCAGTTTTCATGCAGATTTTTCACTTAAGAATTTGTGAAAATCCTTAAATGTGTACTTAATGGTCACTTTCAGAGTGTTGTTATATAATCCCTTATTTCTAAACCCATTGTGTCTGAACATATGGGACACACAAAGACTTTGCAATACACTCTTGAACGACCTTGAGGATCCATTGATGCTTGCAGACATCCCATCTTCTCAAATATCTAGCGAGGAGACACACAGACACTTACTCCCCTTCCCTAATTACCGAGTCTCAAGGGACGAGACACTCAAGCAGCACTACAGTGTTTGGTTAGAGAAAAGGTCTTTCTCACCAGTTAGAGGACAGAGAGACAGACAGACAGACAGACTGAGGCAAAGGGAAAAAAAAAACAATAAGACAATGTTCAAAATACAGATTTAATGGACCTAGACACATTTATTAATAGCTTGATCTTGTTTTAGTTTGACATTTGGTTTACTTGCTAATAAAGCTACTTCTTTGTTAAAAAAAGAATAGTTATTTTGGGTAAAACCATCTATCTCTCCAAGAAGAACAACTTTTCAAACACCAACTTAGGCAAGGCAAGAGGCAAATGTATTTTTGAGTTATTCTAAAGGGTTCTGAAAGAGCAATATCAAAGATCAGTATCAAAACCAATTAATGATTCAGCTAAAGTGAAAATGTGAAAATGGTTTGAGTCGCAAAGTTTTCATGCAACACTGAAATTCTGACCCCAAACATCAAATGCAACAGGACATGGGGTGGTGGGGTTGGAGGGAACAAAAGGCAGAAAAGAAAGAGAAAAGCTCAGTGGCACAGAGAGAAAAATAATGTCATGACTGACGAGAGGGAGGGAAGAGAAAGAACAGAAGCTGACTTGGTGGACAGGGAGGGAGGAGGAAGAGAGATTATCTCTCTCTAATGGCTAACTTGTTGACAGCAACACTTTTCACCACCTCTATCTACACATCTAACATTACTATCTACCCTCCATGCATGCACACATGCGCACACACACACACACACACACTTTCTCTCCTGTTGCAGGGCTTATCAGCCCGGCTGTCAGTCTGCTCCACAGCTCAGGTGGGTTTCAGACTCTAAAACCATGAAAAGTGGAAAAGCGAACCGGAGACGTCACCGCCTCAGACGACCTCAGCTTTCTGTCAGCTCCTTTGCAGCCATCACATCACATGTTGAATCTGATAGTCTGCTTTCACATGCGCTGCCAAACGGAGAAACTCACTTCTCTTTGCTATGTCTGCCCAAACAAGAAAACGTGGGAAAGATTTCAAAGCAGTGTTTGTCTCGAGTTGTCTTCATGTTTGGTTAGTAATGTATAGTGATGAATCAAAACCATTTTACTATCTTTTCCTGCTGAAATTGAACTGAATTTTGAATTTCCTTTTTACGAATGTTTTTGGCTCTACTGAGAAAGACATGAGATGAATGCCCAGTGTACGTGAACGGCCACTACGAGTGCGTTTTCAGTAGTTTTAATGTAGACGGAGATCAACTCTGATACGCAGCTAAAACGCTGGTGTGGACGGAGAGCGTATTCATTTTAAAACAAAAACAAAACAGAGAAGTGTGGATGGGGCACCACAGTCACCATGATGCCTCTTTAAGTCTACTGATCTGTGGCTGTCTCACTGCTAAACAGGATAAAATACACACACTCACACACACAAGCAAACTCCTACATGAGAATGCATACATAAAGTCACAGCTTTGTTTCTCTTGTTAACAGCTACTTTGTATATATTTGAATAAATTTTCATTTTTGGTAATACCTCCTGTCAATAAAAAAACAATGTTTGTAGTCGTAGATCAAACAAAAGTCAGATATTTAAACACACAACACTAACTTTGAGTTTCCCAAAAAGCAATTATTATTATTATCATTATTATAATACAAAGTTATTGCATCTTGCATTTCTTGTCATGTCTGTACAGATGTCTTTACAATACACCACGTTAGCCTCAAACTACAAAATGTCCTCTATAGTTTAGTTCTTCCATGTATCTCAGACCACGCACAGCTGACCTCCGACCAGCAGCAACTAAGCCTATTCTGAACACAGTACACTCACCAATCACATATATCAGAATAATAAACATCTTCAATCTCTTATCCTCCTCCTCCAGTCACCAACACCATTCTGTGTTTATAATTCTTGTCATTATTATAGTCAACTTGTGTCCTGGGTCCTCCCAGAGTCACAGTCAGACTTGTGTGTCAGATGCCATACAGCCTCACATGAAGGCAGAGCAACTTCACTAGACTGAGAGAAACATTTGTGCACCATTTCGACCAAAATAGTCCTGGTCTCCACCGCAAAGCGAGAGGGCTGCCTTCATTTAGGCCGATTGGGTAGGCAGATCACACACACACACACACACACACACACACACACACACACACACACAGACTGCATTTCACCACTGTCATATGGGAGCCAACGTCATGAAATATGCCCATTCTGTAAGTAGACTGTGACAACGGAAACATTGTGGGGACGAAACGTGAACAAGTTCAAATGGAGCAAAGTCCAAAACCCAGTGGACCAAGTTTAAACCAACTTTTTCCTCATTGACTTCAGATGTGTGTATCCTGTTCAGAGCGTGCAAAACAACTCACAGCAGCGAGTATTAAAGCTCAGATCTATCTGAATCCAACTCCTTTCAACTTATTACAACTGTCAGGTCAAAGATGATAGCCTCATAAAATGACAGATATTAAATATAGTCAAATCACTGATAGGTGGTAAATCACACATCCCAAATCCCCGTCTATAAACTTGTTAAATTCAGTGTGTATTTAAGATGTAATAACCATCTTTTTCTTTGTGGTATCCGTTAGAACTTGTATTTCATAAAAATGTATTTAAAATGAATGTAATTCTTACCTGGTCTGTTCGAATCCAGTTGTTGCCCAGCTCTCCAGGAGAAGTTTCTCCTCCGACCATGCGAAACTCTCAAGTCAGGAAAGTGTGACTGTCTGCCCGGCTGGGAAACTACACACAGATCGGTGTTTTTATTGAAAGGAAAACCCTTCAGATCCCGCAGCAGCTGGCTGCAGAGCGATCGCTGTGTGATACAGATACAAATTCTTCCCAAGTGTCACTTTGTGGACACATTAGACGTCCTTCATGTCACTGCTCGATCACCTTCACAGAGCACCACACGAAAGTTCTTGTACGAGTCACAAAAAGTCGATTTATGAGACCGTACAGAAGTACAGTCTCCGGCTGTCAGTGCCCCAAAAGACCCAACATGTCACGTAGAAGTGTTAAAATAAAGTCAGAAAGCAGTGGCAAGCGCTCCTCGTTGTGTACGCCTGTGTGCGCGGTGTCCTCAGCAACAGGTGTCAGAAATAAAGTGAGATTTCTTCACGGCCATCACAAGTTTCCAAACGCTCTCCAACTAATTACGCGCGCAGGGAGAGGGAGGAGGGGAGGGCAGGCTGCTCTCCGAAGTTTTTACGCGTTGAGAAACACGAGTGAGAGAAGTTTGAGCCGCCGAGACGCAGCGAGGGGAGAGCGGAGTGAAACAAAAGAGAAGTTGAACTGTTTTTCATCCGTGTGACGACTCTTCTCTGCTCTGATGTGGAAACGGCTCGCCTGCCCACCGGCGGAGAGAAGGAGGGTTGTTTCACACAGAAACAGAAAGTGTGTCTATCGGCAATTTTCCAGACAACAGGGAAGAATCGAAGGGAGGTTAAAAACTGTGTCAGGAGTGGGATTTGAACCCACGCCTCCATTTGGAGACCAGAAGTCCCTGTCCTCAGGAAGGAGCTGATCCTTGAGTCTGGCGCCTTAGACCGCTCGGCCATCCTGACAACTGGGGAAGCTTCCACTCATTCTGAAATTTTGCAAAGTTAAGAACAAATAACTGTTGCCCTACAGTTATTTAATTTAGTTGTAAAATGAATTCAGTCTTTTCATAATTCTGTGAAGTCAGAGTCAAACAATTATTTCTGTATTTGAATCTACTTAGTTACCTATAGGTCTCCAATCTTAACACTGTTGCCAAGGCTTGGTGTATTTTGAGTTATGGGTAAAGAAATAAGACTCAGTGTTGCACTGTTGGACTAAATTGTTTAGTTAATTAAGCCATTTTCTTTTTTTCAGTCAGTAGGTACATCTTCATAGTGTTTTACTCACAAACAGAGGGAGGTGTACTCTGGTGTAAATTTATTTTAATCAAACCTGCATGTAAAAATTTTGTCAGGAGTGGGATTTGAACCCACGCCTCCACTTGGAGACCAGAATTCCCTTTATTCAGGAAGGAGAACACCCTTGAGTCTGGCGCCTTAGACCGCTCGGCCATCCTGACATGCTCTTCATGCTTAAGTCAGGCTGGACTTTATTGTAATTAATCTGGTTATTGCAGCAAAGTGATGATTTATTTATTTGAGCATTTTTCATTCTTTGTTTAGCTGACACCCCCCTCCTTTTTTCTCTACACTCTTAAAAACAACAACAACAACTCATAGTAACTCATAAAGTGAAGTGGGTATTTCTCTAGATGAATCCATTAAACTTTGTTGCATCTAATATTAGCATTGTTGCTAAACTATCTCTTTGTCCATTTTGTTTGTCAGGACATAGCAGATTGGGAGAAATTTTGTCTGAACGCAAAATCAGATTCGAGAAATTTAGAATATCTCCAGACATGTCAAGGCACTTTTGTGAATTTGGCTCTCAGAGCAAATGGTTTGTTTAATGTATACTCAACATCCCTCACCACATGAAATGCTTTTGCAGCAGTGTTAGCTAATCAGAAAGACAACCCTGTGTGTCATTCTTACAGGTACCCTTTGTTTCAGCAAACTAACACCTCCATTTAGCTTTTCAAGGAGAAACTGCCGTGTCAGGAGTGGGATTTGAACCCACGCCGCCACTTGGAGACCAGAAGCCCCTTTGATCAGGAAGGAGCTGATCCTTGAGTGTGGCACTTTAGACCGCTCGGTCCTGACAACTGTGGGAAAAAAGCTTAAAGAATAGGTAACACTAATTTGACCTATCTTGTTGTAAAAACACCTTTATGGTTTTGGCTCCACATCAAGTGTCTCTCTCTCCGTTATGTGTTTACTAACTATTGGTAAGAATTTGCCCTTGCTGCATAAAATGATTTTGCACCAACTCTGCTGCTTTAAATTGCTTCCAAAAGAAAAAAACGACTTAACTTGTTGTTATGCCGACAATCTGCTAACTGGTAATCAGCTCAGTACATTTCAGCTGTGCAGCTGACTGGACAGTTATTAATGATCATGTTTGCATGATTTTCGTCAGATGTTAAAGAAGTGATTTCAGCTTTTCAAGGAGAAACTTTTTTCAACATGAATTTACTTTGCAGTTAAAACTGTGTCAGGAGTTGGATTTGAACCCACACCTCCATTTAGAGACCAGAAGTCCCTTAGTTCAGGAAGGAATCGAACCTTGAGTCTGGCGCCTTAGACTACTCGGCCATCCTGACAACGACAAAAGACGCAAAAAGAATAGGTAACACTTATTTGTCCTATCTTGTCGTAAAAACACCTTTATGAATTTGGCTCCACATCAAGTTTCTCTCTCTCCCTTATGTGTTTACTAACTTTTGGTAAGAATTTCCCCTTCCTGCATAAAATGATTTTGCACCAGTGTTGGCAGATTCAAAATACTGTATACCAACTCTGCTGCTTCATATTGCTTCCAAAAGACAAAAAAAGAGTTAAACTTGACAATCTGCTAACTGGTAATCAGCTCAGTACATCTCAGCTGTGCAGCTGACTGGACAGTTATTTTGGGTACTTGTGCAGTTAATAGGCGCTTTCACACTGCCATGTTTTTCGTGAGGATTAAGCTAATATGCCGTCTCGCTGTGCTGAATGAAAGGTACTGAGCTGGAAAGGGGGGTGAGATTTGATCCGCTTCTGAGCAGGAAATGTGGATGGTAACAGAGCCGGAACGATGTCTGTGTGAAAAGGCACAGCCAGCATGCTGAAACGGGTGTGGTGCTTTCAAAGCTATTGTGTAACAAGTCACGTTGTTGTTGTTTTTTTATAGTCTAACCAACCTGAACGCTATGTACAAGCACACACAGTTGCGGGATTATGTCGGAATATTTTGTTCAGTATGAATGAGCGAGTTCAGCATATTGGCACGTTTATTGCCACGTTTATTGATAATGTTTGCATGATTTTAGACAACTTCATGTTGATATTCAAGGACAAACTAGTTTTACACCAATTTTGTCAATTTGGATGAAACTTGCAGGTAAAATCTATGTCAGGAGCGGGATTTGAACCCACGCCTCCACTTGAAGACCAGAATTCCCATTCCTCAGGAAGGAGTAAGTCCTTGAGTCTGGCGCCTTAGACCACTCGGCCATCCTGACAACTGGGAAGAAAAGCAAAAGAATAGGTAACACTAATGTGTCCTATCTTGTCGTAAAAACACCTTTATGGTTTTGGCTCCACATCAAGTGTCTCTCTCTCCATTATGTGTTTACTAACTATTGGTAAGAATTTCCCCATGCTGCATAAAATGATTTTGCACCAACTCTGCTGCTTTAAATTGCTTCCAAAAGAAAAAAAATGAGTTGAACTTGTTGTTATGCCGACAATCTGCTAATTGGTGATCAGCTCAGTACATTTCAGCTGTGCAGCTAACTGGACAGTTATTAATGATCATGTTTGCATGATTTTCTTCAGATTTTAAAGAAGTGACTGAAGCTTTTCAAGGAGAAACTTTTAATACACAGATTTTTTCAACATGGATGAAACTTTGGAGACCAGAAGTCCCTTTGTTCAGGAAGGAGCTGATCCTTGAGTCTGGCGCCTTAGACCACTAGGCGTTTTCGTAAGTCTGCATTTCTGCAGACTTTGCCTGAGGGAATTGCCCACAGTTCATAGCAGTATGACGTGAAACAGGGGTTACGTACTGTAACCCGGATTCTATGAGTATAGGCGCAGCCCTCTAAGTCTATCGCTATTGGGTTTACCCCTTCTGCGAATTTTAGTCCACGCCCACCCATAGTGTGGGCCTCTCCTATGTCCGCACCTTGTATATATACAACGGTGAGACCCAGCCTTCGGCTCCCAAATGCCTTTTCTTCAGCACTGAAAACCAAGGTCCAGTGAGGCCTTCAACTTAGAGGGCTGCGGCATTTATACTTGTGCGTCCGTGTGTCCGTCAATGTGCAATTACACCCACAAACGTTAGTCGGCAGTAGCGCTACAGCGTCAACTTGTTGGCCAAGCAGACTAACTTCCGGTTTAGCCCTCCGCTAACGTGAATGGGGGTAAAATTGTAAACGTGGTATAGCTTTTTCATATATCAAATATATTGATCCACTGCGTCGTAGGTGACGGCGTAGGGTAGATACATAACAGGACAGCGCTCGTACCAGGCAGAGGGGGGGAAGGAAAAAAACCTGAGAGGGGGATGACCTGCAACCGAAAGGAGCTTGTAATGCTTTTAGGCACGAACTCCAGGTTAGGGCTCAGAAGAGCTGAGTTGCTGTCACCCTGAATCTTGAACCAGGAATCTACTGCATGAAAATCAATTTCTCTGCCACTGCACCACTCATCCAGATAAGCCCATAGGGTTAATTCACCAGTAATAAACCTTCACACGTTTTGCTTTCAACACATTTCATTGGCATTTACTGATTTAGCTGAAGCTTTTATTTGATCAGCTCCAAGTCTGTGATTGGCAGATGCTCCTCACTCACTACAGTGTCACAGGAGTTGCTCTTTCAAAACTGAAAATACAGTATTTCACTCCTCTCAGGGTTAATAAACTCAGCAGCAGCTCCTGTGGAGTTGAGAGGCTGACAGACAGCATGACCTGTTAATATTGTTAGGTCTCATCTGAAAATATAAAGACACCGAACAACATTGATAATTAATATATAATGAATAATCACCTACTTATCAAATGGCAAAAACTTTCCTCTTCCATGTACATTTAGTGATTTGTCAGTTTTATCCCCCCCAAAAGAAGAAAATATTATCAATGTCCCCATATCCCCCAGACCTGCTGGCAAAGACAGATGCAGAGAGTGGGAATTGATCCTAGTTCTCCCACATGAAAGGCAACAGCATTAGCCTCTGTACTACAGACCCCACCCACACACACCTCGAAGATATATTCATACTTTTACTCGCACATACATATATACTCAGCTCGCACATACATACATATTCAGTTTGCGCATATATACATACTAACCTTGCACATACATAAATACTCACCTTGCAGATATATACATACTTACAAATGACAGTATGTATGAATGTGCAAGGGAGTATATATGTATGTGCGAGCGTGTTTGTATGTATGAGCAAGCAAAGTATTCAATTTTGGCCTAGGCGGCTTCTCATAGAAAGCAACCACCTTTACATACTTAGTTTATTCAACTATTTATTTTAGTTTTTGCTTAATGATGCTGTTTTGACCAACAATAGTGTATTAATTATTGACAAATATATATTGACATTTACCTCTCCTCCACTCTGTAGGGCAAGAGCCTTCAGGAATCAGGCAAAAACATAAAATAAAAAGTGTGCAACGAATTTCAGAGTCGTCAAGGTAATGTGATAAAGTGGCAAAGTGCTGTCCCGTTCCCGTTTACAGCATTTTGAGCCCTTGCAGCACCTTGCACTCAATCACTTTCCAAGTGATGTCAGTAAAGTCTGTGAGGGTTCAGGGCTTTGGGTTTAGGGGGACATTGGGATTGGGCCTAATGGTGCTTTCAGACCAAAAGTGTAGCGAGCGTTTGGGGTGGTGAGTTTACATACAAAGTCAATGCAAACACGCGTAGAGCCGCGATTTCCTGTCGGGCGGCACAGAGTGACGTGAAGGGGGCGGGGCCGGCGATGGCGATGCAAAGGCAACGCAAAGGAATTTGCAAGAGTTGAATATTTTCCACTCAAGCAACAAAGTGGCATGACGCTGAGTCGCGATAGCTTATCAGTGTTGATATCGTCCGTGCGTCACCGACGGCTTCAGAGCGATGTGTGGAGAGGGCCAGGCAGAGTGGGGGATTGAAAATCTGCTGGCCAGCTGAGAGCTGCTAAACTTGGGGGAGAGGAGCAGGGAGCAGCGCTGAAAGCTTTGGACAAATAAACACCCGTAGTTGGACTGGATTATGCTCTGACAACTATGGCGTTTACTCGTGGGAGGAGCGCGGAGTTAACTGCTTTTATTAAATTAGCTTTTTACTTTAGTTTTTGAGATTACAACGTTGATTTATCTTCCACTGGAGCTTTTCAGCAGCTAGCTTCCATGCACATCCGGTTCCAGTGTTGTTGTTAGCGTCATTAGCTCTGTTGGACTACGACTTCATATTTATTTAAAAACCGGACAAAACTGGTCATTACTTGGAGAAAAGAAAGCGAGGATGTTGAACTACCTGGTGAGATCAGAAAACATGTGTCTGTAACTTATTCCAGCTGTCATTGTACTTTGCTGTGGCCAAGTTGGCATAGAATAGCCCTGAACGATCCAAACTCCATTCAGAAAACAAACATTTTAGAAGTTGTTGTCCTGCTGTCTTGCTGACAGACCTGACAACGCATGAATTTATTTGTTTAACAAATCTGCATCATGTTGTAGTTATTTCGGCATCAGTTTGTTAACGTGTGTCACATGACTTACGTAACAAATTTAAGGTTCGGTAAGCCTGTTGCTGGAATGTTACTTGCCAACGCTCATAGGTATCGTTTTGGGACAACTGAAAATCAACCAATTTTTTCATTCAGTAATGAGGGCCGTGTCGGTTACTTTAGTTAATGATTATGTTTTTTGGATCTTAGAGAAATGCAAGTAGATTTTCAAGGAAAACTTGTTTTACAAACATGGATGAAACTTTCAGATAAAAGTTGTGCCAGGAGTGGGATTTGCACCCACGCCTCCATTTGGAGACCAGAAGTCCCTTTGCTCAGGAAGGAATCCACTCTTGAGTCTGGCGCCTTAGACCGCTCGGCCATCCTGACCACTGGGACAAAAAGGCCATCTGGACTTTTAAAAAGATCCTCTGTCATGTTGAATTTTCTGCAGGCGCTGGTTGTATTATACAGTGAATGAATCTGAATCTTATCTACCCCTCGCTTATTGGGACATGGCAGCTTGAGAGGAATGTTCTCTGAAAGCAATAAAAGTCACAGGAATGGACAGACGGAGGAGGACAAGGAGATAAGGGAAACGTCTTCAGTGTTGGTGGATGTTTGGACTGCCAGTGGCTAACAGTTTATTTTAGCAGCTCCACTCCTCTCACATTGTTTTTATTTCCTCTCAAAGGTTTTTCCTACTACTCACTGCCTCCTTCTGTCCCTTCCATCGTGCCAGTCTCTCCATCTACCCCTCCCTCCCTCTCTCCATTCATCCCTCCTACAGATCAGTAATTAATTTACTTTACGAACCATTTATTTGGGAAATAATGTCAAATCTGTATGCATAAAGTAAACATCCAAATCCAACAAGTAACAACTGCCTTTAAACCAAAACTGAATTCATTAATCATTAAGCTTAAAAATATGTACTGTAAACTGGATGTGTGTTTTAAGTTGAGCTTCTGTTTGTTTTGGTCTCAGCCCTCCCTCCCTCTGTTTTCTCTTTCTCTCCCTCACCTCTCTCCTTCTTTTTCTTTTCAGTCATGTGTGATGTGATGTGTGATGATTGAAACCACATCTACCCAAAGCCAACGCAAGCCGTCCCCACTTCCTCTGCAGTCACTCAAATTTTATTCCTCCTCCAGGTCCCTCGTGTGTCTCAGTCCTCCACTATAGACAGCATGTACGGAAAGCCAGGCTACACTATAAGTAGATATATTTTTTAACTACACACACATGCAAACGCTATCTCAATATTAAAGATTCAAGATTTCTTTATTGTCTTTCTACATTTCACTGTAGAACAAAATTACGTGCAAAGTTCAAGTCTCAAGGACATCTGTGTTTTTTGTGTTGTGAACCACTGATATCAGCAGCATCTTATCAACGCTCAGTCTCTGCAAAGAAAGGTGTGTGGTGTGTCAGTTTTACTGTATTTGTGGGGTCCAAAAACTGACAGCTTTGTAGGGAACAAAATGCTGGATCCCTGGAGTTGAAAAGGCTGATTGAGGAACTAAGTCTTAGTTTTAGCAAACTGAGTTAGGCATTTAGTTGTGATTGTTAAGGTCAGGGTAAAGGGCTAGGCAATGCGGGTCCCCACAAAGATAGTGACACAAGGGTGGGTATGTGAGAGAGAGAGAGAGAGAGAGAGAGAGAGAGAGAGAGAGAGAGAGAGAGAGAGAGAGAGAGAGAGAGAGAGAGAGAGAGAGAGAGAGAGAGAGACGAGAGATTTTCACAATTTTCGTTAATGTACATGTTTTTATTTCACACTTGTTTTGGCAATGTAAAGGTGTATTTCCCATGCCAATAAAGCCCCATTGGAGAGAGAGAAAAACAGAGAGAGAGAGAGAGAGAGAGAGAGACCCAAAAGAGTAAAACCATAGACTTAATATAGACATAATGTATTATATACAAACAAACTGGAAAAAAAGAGAAAAGAAACAGGATATGACAACGGCCGTGCCTTTGGATGTTAACCAAACTCTGATCTTGTAAAGAGACTGTCAATTAAACATCACAAAGAGAATGCAAAATGTTTTCCCAAAGACTTAATACTTTTGGGTTTGTTGTTTTGTTTTTTGGATATTCCTAGAGCTGTTTCATTACAACCCACAATTTGTTATACACTGTTGATTTCCAACAGTACACTCAAAAATCAAGGTCACTTTGTAGCTGACTGACTGAGTATACTTAATTTTTCCAGTGGGAATATAATGATGGTTTTAAGTATTTCGTTGTTGTCACAGGACAGGCCATTTTCAAGCTCTCTAAATGTCCAGAGCTTAATAAAAGGTGAATGTTTAGAAGACATCTTCTTTTGAAACTTATTTTTGTTCTTTAAATATGTAAGGGTTTTCATACTTCTTGTTCTGTAACTGCTGATAGCTGAAAGAAATTCTGAGCTACATGAGTCACAGCAGAGACAAGAAGATGGAATGATGTTTGGCGCTCAGTGGTTTTGTACCTCCACTCTTTCTTATCTATCTCTCCCTACCTCTCTCTCTTTCTCCATAACATAAATCAGGGAGTCATACATGCGTATCTGTTCCTCCTCCCCTTTCTCGCTCCGTCCATCCTTCCTGTCTCCCTTCACTGGCTTTTATTAGGACAGTAGATGGAGAAAGCAGAACCGATCTCTACACAAACCCAGGTACCGACACACGTACAAAGCGTTGCCATGTGTGAAGGTAAACACCTGCACATGTGCTACATTTACAGACTGTCAGGGAGTTGCTTCTCGGCGTGCCTGATGTGTTTTATTGTGTGAAAGAACAGAGCGACCCTTACAGCCTGATGATGTTTTGAAAATTCTTCACAGGGGAAGTCAGAGGTCGGGTCAGGGTCGAGGTTCAAGGTCAGTCGAGCTGGGTGGGTCTGTTAAACCAGATTTTCTATTTGAATGAGTAACAACGCATTGCTCTGAGCTGCTGCCATATGCAAGAAGGAAACATTAAGTGTGTGTGTGTGTGTGTGTGTGTGTGTGTGTGTGTGTGTGGAGATCTTTCTATAGCCTCTTTCCTGTGATTTTAATCTGATGCAGATAAATTGAAATCAGCTTTGTTCACCCTTAAACACACAGACATGTGCAAACTCCTACCTGTTTATATCCTCATATCTTTCCTTGGTACATATTTAGTACCAACATTTTTTTTTATTTACAGGTCAAGTTTAAAACGATTGGTTATTGGAAACAATGCATTTTGGATGAGTTGTTGGGACATTTAAGATAATAGTATTCGTGTGGCTGGACTGCGTGTGTGGTAAAGAACTGGAACAGGATGAGGCCTGGCGTATGGAGTAATGTCATTATTGTTGACGGATAGGAAAATTTTCCACTAGAGCCAAGATAAGAAGCACATAGTCTGCATATGAAAGAGGGAGATAGAGAACGATGGAAAGGAAGGAGAGGTCAGAAAAATTAAGGAAATGAAACAAAGGGAAAGATGTTCCAAGCTTTGTCTTTATCATTTGTACACAGTCATCAACAAAAACATTTGTGAGTGAGGATTAATCAGAGGGGTCACCAGACGATTAAAGGTATAAGAAAGAATGTTTCTGTTACACAAATTTATATTTATTTTCTAAGATGTTTCTTAATTGATTTTTTTTTTTTATCTTGTATACTTTCACTTTTTCCAGCCTATAAAAATCCTTCAAAACAAACAATATGAGAAAAAAAAATCCCACTTTGGTTAAAGTGCTCATATAAGGCGATACAACCTGTAATGAGGGGTCACAAGTAGACATTGCCCCATTTTAAGGGGTCCCACGTCAAAAAGGTTTGGAACCACTGACACAGCTCAAACCTGTCGAATATCCGACTTTTAGATATATGAAATGACTGTCCTTTCACAGTAAAGTTAAGATAAATCCATATTTTATTCTATTCTCTCACGGTGAGTCCCAGTCACCACCATTCCCAAGAACATAACACTATCCAGTATAAAACAGACGACTAACAACTGGATTTTACGACACAAACTCATATCTGACAGAGTTTCATTCCAAAATAAGAACCCTTTATCAAACACAAACTCTTCATGATCATGAAAGCTTTTAGCTAACTGGTAACATCAGAGGAACAAATGCACCAAACATCAGGCTGAGATTTCTCCTCACAGAGCAGTACTGTTTTGGAATTAAACTCCTCATTTACACCCATGTCTTTAATACACAGCTTAGGTGCTGAAAATTAAACCTTTTTTATTGGCCTGTTCAGAAAACCTTGATGGTATAAGACTTGGGTGTGCAGTGTAAATCCCCATCTTTAGGCTTTGTGTCCACCAGGTATTTCTTGTCAGATGAGCGGCACTAATCATTAGTACAGTATAATACTAAAAAAAACCTGTTAGAGGAGCATTTGATTGAAGTTGAAACAATCTGAACCTCTAGTGCTTGGTGCTGTAAGCGTTTAAATCATGCTACGGCTGCCAGCGCTGTGGGAAACATGCATCAGAGTGTCCTTTTCCACTGTAAACACCAAGAACAAGAAACTGATTCTGAGAAAATGATCCCAGTGGACACAGAGCTTTATGTAGGTACAATACACGTTCCCAATAACAGTTTTATGGAACAAATCTGTGGTTACTTGCAGGTCACAAAAAAAAGGATGACATATTATGTAATATACCAACTAATACATGACAATATTTTCAATTAAACAAGATTAGTGTTTTATATAGATTATCAAATGCAAAAAAATATATTGCAATCATCTTATATTCACTCCCTCCTTTTAATAAAGGAAAATTAATAATTAATTCAGACATGTTAATTCTAAAGGGATTGCCATGGGTAAGTGAGGGATTATCTGAACTCAACCTAATTTCAGCATTGACACCCTAGCTGAACATGTTTTTCTTAAAAAGGACATCTATACTGGTGTGTTTTTAATAAAGGGAAATATTAGTGTAGTTTGTGCCTTTCATCAATAATGGGAAAAGAAACTGATGTTTCTCTGACGAACGCTGTGTTTCTGTTAATTAAACTTCTCTCTATACAATTTACACATCTACGTCAAGATTACTGCATGTTGGGGCTTTTCATCAGATATCAGGCAAAACAAAGTAGGAAAAAACAATAAATGGAAAGAAATAGAAACCAAATGTAAAAAATATAGCAGCAAATGATGTAAAGAATCAAAGGCAGCTGAAATAAACACACTTTTGTATCTGAACCAATCAAATAACAATGTGGTAACAGCGTGTAAGTCTGGCATCAGAAACAACCTGGCAAGCTCAACTCAATTTCACCCTTTTTATACAGCTTGAAAATACTTTCACCCCATAAAATACATCAAGTCATGATTACAAATCCAACAAGCTGATTGCCTGGAAGGACACAAGATGGTCGCCGTGAAGCAGATGGCAAGTGCAGCGAAGGTTCCTTCTTTTCTTTTCGAAGTAGTTAGGGAAATACGTGTTTAATATCTCAACTAACATTAACTATTTCCAATTAACTTGTATGCCAACAAAGCACTCGTAACTGAAAAATGAACAATATTTCCCTTAGCTGGCACTGTTTGTTCAAAATTACAGCGGCTAAAGACAGTGCAAGAATATTTTTCAGTAGTGGTGTGATTTTTTTGTAGATTCCCTTCCCGTTTGTGGGAACAAGATGAGTGAAGAAGCGCTGGCGGAAGAGAAAGTCTTCATGCTCTTGTTCAACACTGATTTTATTTGTGTCAGGGGATTATGGGGGCCTTCTGGAGACTTCTGATGGTCCTGTTAAATGTTTGGAGTGTGTTAGCTTGCTTTCTGACTCTTGAGTGCTAATTAATGAATGTATGTCAGCCTGTGTATGTTTCTCTCATTGTGTGTGGATTTGTGTCAGCAGCTGTCCTCTAGAGCGTTGACGACTTGTTCCAAAATGTCGGGGCATCTGTCGGCGATCTGCTGCAGGACCTGATTGGCGTACTCCTGGAGCTCCGCCCCCTCCCTCTCGCACAGCGCTAACTCCGCCTCCAACTGGGAGAGAAAGAAAGACACAGAAAGAGGGGAGGGATTTTAGATATTTTAAACACAATCACCTAATGGTGCATCCAACATAGCAACATTATATTTAAGTTTAGGAAATACCTTTATTTGATTTCTTGCAGAGAGTTATGCTAGACAAGAAGATTGGTTCCACTCTCATGTCAGAAGTTGGTCAGCTTATCTTAGCATAAAGACTGGAAAGAGAGAGACACAGCGGGCCTGGCTCTGTCCAAAAGTAGCAACAACCGCCTACCGTGATTGGTTCATTTATCAACAAGTAACATCCTTCTTGTTTAACCGGAGTGTTAAAAAAAAACAAGCTGTGTTTTTTTGTGGGGAGTTTTCTGCCAGGGTTTTGTGGTTGAGCACATAACTTACACATAACCCCCTGTAAAAAAAAATAGAATTTTTGGTTTTACACTTTGGTTTTTGTACAGATTAATTACATGCAATATATTGGTGAACTAGTGAGCCAGTCTAGCTGTTTCCAGTTTTATGCCAAGCTATGCTAACTGACTTTGGCTTCATATTTAATGAACAAATATGAAAGGGGTTTCAATCTCAACTAACTCTCAGGAAGAAAGCAAATAAGCATATTCCCCAAGATGTAAAAGCAATTCCTTTAAATTCCATGTTACTATATGGTTCCTTTAAGTGAAAGATATAAATTTAAGAGTTTTAACTCCAATATCAGTCAAGCATACAAGCACAGGGAGAAAGACACACTCTACTCGCAGCCCCATGGATGATCAAGGAGCATGTTTTAAGTGACACACACAGACACACACAGACACACACATACACACACACACACACAGACACACACACACACACACACGCATATCAAACTGTAATCTGAAAACACCACAATGTAGTTCTTTCTGCCCATACAGACTGGAACATTTGTGTGAGAGAGCGCTGATGTTATTTTCTTTGGCTGCAGTTGAGCTGAGACGTCAAACCCAACTGACTTAATGACCAATACATCTGTATCAATAAGAGCACCACTCAAACAGTCATGTAACACAAGCCCACATTTATGTTAGTGTGTGTGTGTGTGTGTGTGTGTGAGGCCTGGGTCAGATATTGGCAAAATATTTCCTTGTTAAGTCTTAAGCTCCTCTCTCTGCTCTCATCTCTTAGCCAGCAAACCTCAGTGGCACTTTAAATTACAGTGGCTTTATTCATGTGTAAAACTGCTGTAAGTAATAATACTGTTAATGATTACTGAAATCTGCCCTATAAATGACAATACAAACATAGCTCCTAATCCATATATTATGTTGTTATTTATTGAAGAGAGTCTGTAAGAATTACTTTTACAATGTTTTCAGTACACGGTGAGTTAAAGTCAGTTTTCACACATTGCTTTGGCAGTACTGTACGGATTGTTTGTGTTGTAGTACTTGTGGTGGAAATTACATACTGGACGTTTACCAGGCAGACAGGGTCTAATGAAAGATGTTTTCAATTTGTCAATCAATGTAGGATGTGTATGGGACCTTGCTCAATACTAGAGAATGAAAGTAAGGATATCATTGATCAATTTTGATTATTCTTATAAAAATCTGCCTCTTAAGATACCTCAACTTCAAGGAAGTGCTATACTAAACTGAGGCATATGGGCCCTTTAAATGTATGTCAATAAAGCCTTTTGAATTTGAATGAACTTTTGTCGTGATTATGTGTATGCAGTACGAGAAAAAGCAATCGATATACAGTAAATGTACAATAATAATAAGTAAGGAAAGGCAAGAGTGAGAGACAGAGGAAAGTCTGAGGAGAGAATACAGATTAGGCTGGAGATAGGGATGCACTGAAATGAAAATTCTTTGCCGAAGAATGACAAAAGTTGCCGAATTAAGAACAAATACATTCACATTTTTTCCATTTCTTTTGTCTTTTTTTTTTACCATTGCAGAAATTAAATAGTCAAAATGTGCTTTTTACTCAGTGTTTCCCACAGGAGACTATGGTGAGTGGGTCCGAGGCCCGAGAGGGTCCGATAAAGTAAATTGTACATATGATGTAATATGTTTTATACTTTATGTGACTACAATCCAATTAATCTTATTTCCATACTGTATAGACACCTTCTTTTGAAAACCAGATGCTGTCACATGTGTATCCCCTGGCTAATATATCCTTATTTTTTATGAAGTATACACATATTCACTTGTTTATTGTATGTTTGGCAGGCAATTGAACTTAAGGCTTTACATTTTAGTTGCAACCCCCCAGAAAAACACAGCAGTAAAGATAAGGCTGTAAGATGACCGAGAAGAGATAAACGGTTTAGTATATGCCTGCTGTCTTCTTCTCTCTGACTCACAGCCTTGACCTACACCAGATAAAGACACTTGAAAGGATGTTTAAAAATCAAGATCAAATGGGTCATACAGCGCTAATATTGCCATTTATCTAAAACCGGATTATATACACTGAATAGACAAAATATGAGACGTATCGTCATGATCGTAATTTACAGCCATCTGCATAATCTATACATCAACTATCCCACATTGTTAACATTCGGTGGCCACAGACTGCTTGTATGCAAAGGCTCTAGCTTCGAGGTTTTGAGGCCTCTAAACATTTTAAGATGCAGTTTTAGAGTAGAATTCTCTGGATCAAACAACACATGCAGTAAAAACAGGGTTTTAGACAAAATCCCACTTCAATCAGTTGTCTTATCAGTGGTTCCCCATGTTTTAGGTTTATGACCCTTTAAAATGAGCCACTGTTTTTTTGTGTTCCCTCCTCACAGGTTGAACATGTCAATGAGCTGTGAGCAGCTCCACCAAAAACAGATTGTCCCATAAAACACATAATGGTTTCATTTAGAACTATCCAATGTTTTACAAAAAAAGTATCTAGTACAACAATTACAAAAGTTTCTTATCCTATTATTCATCATCAGAAAGGTCCCAACCCCCAGGCTGAAAACCACTGATCTAAACCAGTTCTTTATGAACGAAACTGATGAGTATACCTGAAACTGCATGTGTACACACTCATTCTGCAGTCAGTGGCTGAAAAAAGTTCTTAAGAACTGTTTTTAGATAATGTGGTTAAACTGAGGACATGTTTAAAACCTGACCGCTTGCCCCTATGGGCTTAATTGCAAAGCTGTGTCTAATCGAGTTGCCACATCCTTAAATCACAACAATTAACCTGTTGAGAAAAATGTTCTCATAACTGATATGACTGAAAGCCAAAACTTTCTCCAAGGTAATCATAATTTAATCATCTGCAGAGAAAAAAAAAAGACCCAATAAATGTAATTTATGGCCTGAAGAAATAAAATATAAACATTGTTGCATGATACAGTTTCCAGTTATGAGGTATAAGTTTGGATGTTGTGGTTATGAGCGCCCATGGATCGCGTCTCATGCAATCACAGTGTGCGGTCAGAGAGAAATGTAGATGAAATAATGGAAGTGGACAGAAAGTTGGTGTTGCCAGATTCATAATTTCTGTGTGAGTGTGTTTGTTTGACTGTTTGTGTGTGTGTGTGTGTGTGAATGTGCGTTTGATACAGCGGTTGAGTGTTTGAAATGGCACGTGTGTTTGAGTGCACAGCATGACGCTAAAGTTTATTTTGCAAGCTCAAGTTCTGATTTAGTGAGAGACAGAGGATTGTGGGAAGCAAAGAGATAGAGGTAAGGGTGAGATGTATGTGTATGTGTGTGTGTGACAGAGAGAGAGGGTTTGTTGAAGATGATTTTTACTGCAGCCATTAAAGCTCCATTATCGTTATGGATCATTATCTGCCCTATCAGGGGCTCCGAAGAGACACACACACACACACACACATATACACGGTTGAAGCTTCGCACGTACAAACATTAGTTATCAGCTTGAGTGTGAGGGTAAGTTGTGTGTGTGTGAGTGTGTGTGTGTACACTGACCCCTTGACACACTTTGCAGGGCTTGAACCTCTCTGCAGAGGAATGCTAATGTTTTCTAAAGAAACCATAACTCAGCAGAGAGAGATAGAGACAGAGAGATTAACAGAGAGAGAGAGAGCAACAGACGGGTAGAGGTAGAGAGCGAGTACAAATATATAATCTAACTGGAGTGCATGAGCCCATCCTTGAGCAGGTCATATCTTACAAAGTTAGTTTTCATTCCCAGATAATTCTGAGGCCAGAGGTGTGTTTCTATCAGAAAAGTGTCTCTGTCCACTTCACGACTGTGCATTTTAAGCAGTTAACTTCACCTTGTTTTGACTGGTTTAGGAGAAATGATGTTCTGAGGTCCAGTCCCATGTCGCCATAGATCAGGGCTTCTTATAGTGAGGCCCACTGACCCACATCCACAGACAACTGCACAAATAATATAGTCACTCCTATACACTCCTAATACTCATTACTGATATAACACCTTAAAGCATGGCATGCCATTTATGAAACAAGAAATTTTGAGAGCCAAAAACAGAAAGTTATTAATAGTGGACTTTAATGGTGCACTTGAAGTATATGAATGTGAAGAAGCTATTTTACCTTAATTAAATGATTAATTAAATTTTGTGAAAAATTAGGTCATGGACCAAGGAAGAACTTTTTAGTTTTGGGGCAAATAGTGCCATACAGAAATATAGCGCACAATTATTTGTTCCTAAATTCCTATCCTTTCCATAGAGCCAATATTCCATAGTATTGAAATACATTTCTAGAAAAAAACAAAAACAACAACCCACATCTGCTAAAAATTTAATCTAATCTAATCTGGTACATAATTGCACGACAATGAAAAGGGCGTTCATTACCTTTAAAATATTCCTTACTGTTTTCCATTAATTGCACGATTGCTTGAACATAGCACAGACCTAAAAAAAGACAAAAAAGTGCTAGTGGCAAGTAGGAAATGTGGAAGGTAAGAAAATAAAAACTAAGGTCGACTGTTTCAGAAAACCTTTATGACAGATTTAAACAAAACCAGCAGGATGACACAGGGGGAAGGAGAGGATAAGGGTTAGGACACAGAAA